TATTTACAAGATCGCAAACAAAAATGTTATGTGAATGACATTCTATCTGGCGAACGTACCATTAATTGTGGTGTGCCTCAGGGGTCAATTCTTGGACCTTTATTATTTCTCATATATATAAACGATCTTCCTCAGTGTTTAAAACATTCTACAGCTCGAATGTACGCTGACGATACAAACATAACGACAGGAACATCTATTCGAGAAATAGTAACACATGCTAATGATGACTTAAATAATATAAGTGACTGGCTGAAAGCAAACAAACTCAGCCTTAACGTGACTGAAACTGAGTATATGTTCATTGGATCAGATCAAAATCTTGACAAGTTAAGAGATGTACCACTACTATTTCTTGAAAACAAAGCGATAAAAAGGGTCAAAGCAACCAAGTCATTAGGGGTACATATTGATGAAAGACTAACATGGCATGAACATATTCAAAATATTTCAAAAAAAGTAGGTGCTGGAATTTCAGGTTTACGACGGGTAAGGGAGTTTTGTCCCATTATCGACATTGGTAACAATTTATAACTCATTAACACAACCATTATTTGATTACTGCGATGTTGTTTGGGACAGCCTTCCTGCTTCTGGTGCTAGCATTCTACAAAAGTTGCAAAATCGTGCTGCTAGAGTTATTACTCATCAAGGTTATGATGTCAAATCCAATGAAATAAGGAAAACACTAAACTGGAAAACTCTTGCAGAAATGCGAGACACACAAATTAACTATGATTTATAAGATATTAAACAATTTGGCACCAAAGTATTTAAAAGAGACCATTTTGAAATGTCTGCCATAGATATGTCGGAAATCCGGCCTCGCATCAACACAGTAAAATACGTAAATTTACACCTCCAAATTATGGTTTTATAACGTTTTATTTTTCTGTAAACTCACTCAACCTTTTTCCCTCAAACAACAACTCAATCACAAATGACTTCCGCTTACTTCTGATTACTCCCGATTGGTCAGATTGTTCCCAAACATTACCATATTTAGAAAGCAAAACCTAAGGTCCCCCGATATCCCAAAGCAACACAGTATTCCCCTTAATGATTAACTAACAAATTTTCAACACTCTCCCCCTCTTAAGGCCCGTTTACATGGGCGATTTTTGCTGCGATTTTAGTTGCGATTTTCTCCTTTTGCAGGATGTGAAGGAGTAGATGAGTTATAAATGTTCCAGGTTATGAAATCTTATAACAACATCTTAAGTAATCCACTCCTTCACATCCTCCAAAAGGCGAATATCGCAACTAAAATCACAGCAAAAATCGCCTGTGTAAACAGGCCTTTAAAGTGTCATGAAATGCAGCTTTAATACATTTCTAGTCCTCATCTAGTTTGTTCAACGCAATTCCAACTACTGTATTTCGAGCAGTTTCCTTCGCCTTTCGTTCTGATCTTCTTGGTTGGAATTCCTTCACTCTCGTTGTATGTGCTAACTAACCTGTTACCATACAATTCAACTGTACGGTATTCAACTCTATTCCCTTGAGGATGTAACACATTTCAAAACGCTATAAAAATTGAGTACGTCGTCAAAGTTAACATACAATATTGTACATGATGGCAGCAAGACCTAGACGACAACGTGTGAGTTTGGAGAATAGAGAGTGCCTGATAAGAGCATTCAATGATCCAGCCCAAGATTATCTTTCTGTTGCTGATACCATCGGCGTTAACCGCTCGACAGCGAGAGGGATAGTCAGACGACATTTGCAAGAAGGACAGATAGCTGAAAGACCACGAGGCGGCCCCAACCACAGGAAAGTTGATGATGAAATGAAGCAATGCATTGAAGAAATTCTGAACGAGAACCCTGCTCTCACTCTTGATGGCATAAACCGATTGCTTCAGGAAAGATTGCCTGATAAGCCCCGAATACATTCACGGACAGTTGGAAAGGTATTGAATGGTATGCTATACACATTCAAACTTGTTCGGCGATGCCCTGCAGAAAGAAACAGACCTGACGTTATCCAAAACAGACACGATTATGCAGCCTGGTTTTTGGGAGAAGCGATCCAGAGGCAAATCGTGTTTATTGACGAATGCGGTTTTAATGTCTGGACGGCGAGGAGTCAAGGCAGAGCCCTTTGAGGAGATAGAGCATATTGCCAAGTGTCAGGACAAAAAGGACGCAACATCAGCATTATTCTTGCAGTTTCTTCCACATTTGGCCTTGTGCATCACTCAATGCACATAGGAGGCACAAACAGAGATCAATTTCAGGTATTTCTAGATGAATGTGCTCAAAATGTGGCGGGTAACAAGACGGTTTTTGTTTATGACGGTACACCAGCTCATTGGGGAGCTGTAAGTCCTGCTGAAGAAATCTCGCTACGGATGCTACCTCCATATCATATCCCCCTTTTCTCAACATCGTCGAGAATGCCATAAGTGCGTTGAAAGCCGCAATCAAAAACAATATTTCACGACCTGAAATCCAATTGGAGATGAATAACAGAGTCATGGCGCGTCAAGAACGTATTCCGTTAGGGGAATACAGGAAAAGAGTTTTGATAGCTGCTGCTGAACCGCACATGGACGCAATAACAATCAGAAAATGCAATGCGTAGTTCAGGCACATGCAAACTTACTTACCTCGATATTTAAGAGTTTAATTTCATCGAATGTTAACTTACCCCATACATATTTTCTCCGCTAATGAGTAAATATGTTGTCTTGAAATGTATTTCTTGTTGTGTGTATTAAACGTGTAAATGAATATCCTTTTGTTCGTATTGACTGTTTAGTTATGCTTATTGAACTTGTGTAAATGCTATTGAAATTGACCTTTATTCTTAAGTGAGCAATTCATGTAATTGAAAATTAATAAATGTTAATGATTTTCTGCTCGTTTAAATGAATATACCAAAGTTTTATTGGTGTATCAAAAAATGTTATTGAATGTTTGTTTGTGTTTAATGCGGGGCAGAAGGTGTATAAAGGTGTAGAATTTTACTTCATTTATGGGGTGAAATATTTTACCTCTGTGAAGGGTGTAAAACAAATTTACTCCCTTTTTATGGGTAAAAATATGATTACCCAACAGGGAATATTACTGGGAATAAATTAAAGTATATTAATTAGACAAAGTAACTGAAAAACGTCTTTATTTTAACACATGTTTGCTTTGAATGAAATACAATATCACAACTCTGAATCATTTTAGTTTAATCACAATCAGTTATATTTTTCAAGTTGTTTCAAAAATGTTTGAACCGAAATTCGGCTCTGGCCCTGGGTATTTTGTAAACCCACAATTGCTGTATCAATGAAATAGACAAAATCTCGGTAATCAACTGGATATTGAATCGAAACTATATAATATATTGCACAAAAACAAGCAAGGCTTGACTCATTTGAGCATGTGCTGACGTCCACAAGCTTCATTCCTTCCATGCAAATGATCTTTTTTGCAGTTTCAAATGGACTGTCTCCAATGTTAATTAGCACTGGGAAGGTAGATTAGCACTGTTAATTAGCACTGGGAAGGCCTTGATGTAGCTGGTGTGGTCTTCGTCTTCCTATAAAAAGAGTACAAATTCAGGCAACTTTGTTATTTCCGTGTAAAAAAATAGTAGTTTAGTTGATATAATTTTAAAAAGAAAATAATACAAATTTCGAAAAAATTCATGATTCAAAAACGAGTTACTTACATCTATGTTCACAAGAATGGAACTTGCCTGTTTTCTATTCTTTATCTTCAGCAACTCCGGCAAAACCACAAAGGAAAACACACTTTCGAGACCTAAATATAATATGAATTTGACCAAGTGTCAGATAAAGTTTAAATAATTTTTTATACTACTTGCCAACGTGGAAAGGTGTTCTTCGTAAGCTGTATATGCAAACCCACATCTAATCGCTACATGCAGGAAACATGCAGTCAACACCATGTTTTGTGAAACTACATGTAGCCACTTTAAAGGTGCAGTGTCGCCATTTGCGCATCTTTTCTGTGCATAACAAAAATACTTCAGAAATTGTCTAAAATCGCTTCAATGTATTATTAGTTCGCTTAGTTTTGGGCCAACGAATGATGACAGATGTGAAAGGAGCAGTTATCACCGACTCTGTGTGTTTTCTAAGCATGCCAACTTGAAAAACTAAGGCTGTAGTTTTTCAAGTTTGGTGATACAGGACAGTGAACCCAAACATTTTAGCATCTATCATGATCACTCTTCGGTTTTAAAGTGCACATACATCCCATTGGGGATTTTACATATTTGTGATATTCTGTTCGTTCTATGAGTCTAAGACAAAACGCAATATATATCCTTTGAGAAAAACTTCACCTTCATGGTCTTTTTTGCTGTTAAAGTCACAGGAAGTGACATCAAATAAGGCAAATCGGTTTCCTTGTTTCTTGCCATAAAAATGCCTTATTTGATGTCACTTCCTGTGATTTTAACAGCCAAAAAGACCATGAAGATGAAGTTTTTCTCAAAGAAAATATATTGCATAAATATTTATCACATATAGTCTAGGGTGCACAGAGACGTCGTGAAGATATCAACATTGGGTGTCATCATGTTTTGACCAACTTTTCCTAGAATTTTGACCAAGTAGTAGAAGTGTTTCCTGAAATTGTTGTCGACGGGGGGAGGGGGGTGTTGTCAAAAAATTTTCCCGACTAACACAAGCAAAGCTTCAAATATTTTTCGACCACAATAAGCAAGGCTTGCAATAGACGATTCCCCTTATTACGTTTTCATAGCAGTTTGCATTGTGGTTATAGTGGTATCACTGATATTCAAGATGGTTTATTTTTTGTTCTGACCTGTGCAAGAACTTTTAAAAAAAGCTAGGGTCAGGTGCGCTATAGCCAACAGCATAATATTTGCGAAAACATTCAATATTTTCATTTGAGGCCACTATCTTTATCAGTGATACCACTATAACCACAATGCAAAGCACTACGAAAACGTAATAAGGGGAAAGGTATATTGGAATGTACTGAACATTACAAATATGTAAAATCCCCAATGGTTGCATGTGCATGCACTTCAACTACATACAACCCGTGTTTCAGTTTTCATTGTTGTAAACTTGAATTCCAAAGGAACTGCCAGCCTTCTTTTCTTAGCATCATATTTTCGCGCGTGTTTAAATCAGTTTTTTATGGCTTGTTCCCATGAGCCCTTAAAAATAAAAACAATATTAATTATTGTCAATTTCAAATGCCACTGTAGCTATAAAACTAACACAAGTACCAAATACGGAAGTCCCCACCAATACACACAACAGGATTGTGTGATTCTAGATACAGAGTTCAAAACACGAACAATAGGATCCATGTTTCATTGCCAAACAGGGATGGGGCTCAGTCGTATTCTTGGATTCATTATAGTGAATTGAGTAGGCGAAAATAAACTCCATTCGATGACATATTGGAACAGATATCTCTCACAAATTTGTTTCGTGTGTTTCCGATCAAGGATTTGTTTTCTAATGCACTGGTTACAGATGGAGAAAACTACAAAATACAATTTTACACTAAAAGGTCTTCAATTACTGCAACAAATACTGTGAAGTTTTCATTCCACACAATAATTATCTTTAATTTAACTAAACAAGGTGATCTTTCAGCATTTTGTAAGAGTTTTTCTTTCTTTGTGTCTGACGAGTATGATCGTAATCAGCGATCATAATCTTTGTGTATGCATGATCGCAATCAGCGAATTTAATCATGTGAATTCAAGCCTACCTTTTCTGATAACTTAAAATCCCGAAAAAACATCCTGTTTTTCTTTTCCTCAAAAACAAAAGGTGAAGATGGCAAACTGGCAGTAGTTTTCTCAGGTGATATCACCACCTCAAACACAGCATCATCAGGTTCAGTGAATGTGTTTGCTGATTCTTGATCTTCTATGTTTGTTCTTTTTACTGTTTCTGGTTTATTGGTCTAAATGAAACCATACATGATTTTTCTGTGTTGGTGTTGCATGTGTACTCAGGTGAATAATTATGTTTGTGACACTCTGAGTGTATATCTACACAGGGCGAGCTTGAAAAATATGCCCGGCCACGGTGGGAATCGAACCTACAACCTTTGGAATACTAGCCCATTATGCTCTGCCAACTGAGCTACACAGTCCTATTATAGACTAATTTTACAACTAGGCAAGGAAATGGAAATTGCAAAGTTTGGGTGCGAAATGTTGTAAAATGCAGAAAATATAGCACTGCAAAGTTTGCAAATTTTGAGTATACTTTTGTATTGCGTGCGGAAATTGTTACCACATTTGGGCCGAAAATGGTAGCGATTTTCGCACACAATATAAAAGTATACGAAATTTGCAAATTTTGCAATGCTATATTTTCTGCATTTTACAACATTTTGCAACCAAACTTCTTTTTCATATGCTCTTTCTAGCTGTAGTGATTTATTTCCATCTCCTTGCTCCTTGCCTAGTTTTAAAATTAGTCTATAATAGGAATTGTCTATTGTGTTACACTATTCTCTGCGACCCACGAATAGGCATGTTCTTTAGATGCAGCTGCAACCTGCGTTTTAGACCCGCCGCATAAGTGCATGTTAGTATGGTTAAATGTTAGCATATTTGTATGCTAGAATGTCTAAATGTTAGCATATTTGTATGCTAGAATGTCTAAATGTTAGCATAACTGCATGTTAGTATGATTAAATGTTAGCATATTTGTATGCTAGAATATCTAATTATTAGCATAACTGTTTAGTAAAATGTTAGCATATCTGCATGTTAGTATGGCTAATTAGCATTTATGCATGTTAGTATGGTTAAATGTTAGCATGTTAGAATGTCTAAATGTTAGCATAACTGCATGTTAGTTTTGTAAAATGTTAGCATTTATGCATGTTAGTATGGTTAAATGTTAGCATTTATGCATGTTAGTATGGTTAAATGTTAGCATGTTTGCATGCTAGAATGTCTAAATGTTAGCATAACTGCATGCTAGTATGGTTAAATGTTAGCATATCTGCATGTTAGTATGGTTAAATGTTAGCATTCATGCACGTTAGTATGGTTAAATGTTAGCATATTTGCATGCTAGAATGTCTAAATGTTAGCATAACTGCATGTTAGTAT